CAACCAACTGGGTCTTGAACAACAGCTCCATCTTGGGCTGCCCGTCGGCAGACAGTTGAGAGATCTTGAGACCAAAGTGTGTTAACTTGCATCCGCCCTACGTCAGGCCTTGATGCATTAAGACATAATAATTATCGAAGTTCACTTGCATCCGCTCTATATCAGGGCCCGGTTCATTGCAACCAACTGGGTCTTGAATAACACCTGCATCTTGGGCTGCCCGTCGGCAGACAGTTTAGAGATCTCAAAACCAAAGTGTGTTAACTTGCATCCGCCCCACATCAGGCCTGGATGCATTAAGACATAATCAAAGTTTACTTGCATCCGCCCTATATCAGAGCCCGGATCATTGCAACCAACTGGGTCTTGAATAACAACTGCATCTTAGGCTGCCCGTCGGCAGACAGTTGAGAGATCTTGAGACAAAAATGTGTTTACTTGCATCCGCCTCACATCAGGCCTTGATGCATTGCAACTAGCCGACTCTTGAATAACAGCTGACTCTTGGGCTGCCCCTCGGCAGACACTTGTTCTTGAGACAAAAATGTGCTTACTTGCATCTGTCCCTTATCAGGGCTCAGTTCATTGCAGCTGGCTGGGTCACGAATTCTTGGACTGCTCCTAGTCGACAGTTGAGATGAAATTGAGGTTTACTCGCATCCGGCCCACATCAGGGCTCGATTCATTGCAATCAACAACTGACTCTTGGGCTGCCCGTCGGCCGACAGTTTAGGCAAAATTCGTGATCTCTTACATTTTCCCCGCAGCAGGGCGCGATTCACTGCAACTACTTAAGCAGCCTCGTCGGTCATGAATACTGCCCAATATTAAGCCCAGGCTCAGCCCCTTCGTTTTTTTCCTAAAGATTCTTAGACACCTTTCGACCCCCAAAACCTCTCGACAGAACCCTCCCTTTCTTCGTCAGTTCTCTGGCCCGTCGCCCTAGGCACTAGGATTCTTGAAGTCCTCATGCTTCTGCCTGCAGCCACTATCCAGGTCATATCCAAGGTTCAGCGCGCATGCCTGCGGCAGCCCAGCCACCTCCCATAGTCGAAGCCTGGTCCATGGCTCGCCCCAGAACTCGCCGTCAGTCCCCACCTTCCGGTTCCTGATATCAAAAACCTGGACTTTCGTAATCCACGCGGGCCTGCTTGCGACAGTCGCCTGACCCTCTCCGCATCCTGTCCCTGGTTAGTGTTAACCAACAACAAGACCCAGTTTCCCCCACAACCCTTCAGACACACCTTCATACAAAAGAAATATGCAAAAAAACAAAAAAAATCATCAAAGACCCAGTTCTTTATCCACAAGGGGAGTGTCCGACTAGTAGGCAGCCGCCCGACAACCAGCCCACACCCCATTCCTCGCCGTCCCCGACGAGCTTTCCCGTGGTCATATCGTATGGTCCCCTTTCTTCCCCTGACACATTTGTTTAACACATTTTCCTCTTCAAGGTTTGTATTGCTATCCTTATTGGATCACGTTCCCCCCTGCTTTCCCTGGTGAATTAGTTCCCTCCACCCCGAAATTATGATACAAGTCTTAATTTCCTTGGTTCCTCTTGCATAATTATGGCACAGTCCCCCTGAGTTTCCTACTTTTGGGACCACGATTCACGCTTCTCTTAACCGGCCTTTTGGAACTACGATACATGTTCCCTCTAACTATGGTACAACACCTCCCCTTTTCCCCTAAGGAATTCCACACCCGTCTCTGTCTCCTCATCCTTTTTTCTCGCCTCTCCCTCTTCCGTTTCCTTTCTTCCCTCTCGCGTTTGACTCGTAAGGCTTTCCTCGAAGCGTTCCTTCTCTCTCTCAACCTACGCTTGCCTAATCGGTCGGTATCACCTTCATCCTCCCTTGGCCATTTCTTCCTTCTAGGGGTCATAGGCAGGGGGGGTTTCCGAACTCTATACCCCCTCTTAGGTGGCCGTGAAGAGGCTCCCTGCTTTGAAGTCTCTCCTTCCTCGTGGTCGACGGTCACTTCCTCAACGACCGTTTCCTTTCCCTTCCTTTTTGGTTCTTCCCCAAGGGTTCCTCTCCATCGGAAAAGTTTGAGGCGAGCCCCTGCAATGGGGTCCTTCAACCTAGTCCCATCCAGTTCGGTGAGCATGTATGCAACCCCATCTAACCTCCTTAGGACTCGGTACGGCCCCATCCACCGATTGGCTAACTTTCCGCTCCAAGTCTTTTCTAGTGACGAGTCGTACATTAGGACGAGGTCTAGCTCCTATCGGCTTTTGCCGGACCCGCAAATTCTTGTCCCACCTTTCTTTACCTTTCACCCTCTCTTTCTTGACGTTCTTCCCTGCCTCGGTAAGTCCAACGTCAAGATTTTTAGTTATTTGTTGTATCATTGCTTCCTTCCACGAGACACTTGTCCAAATATCGACATGGAACTCGATGGGTAGGTGGCAGTGTCTACCGAACCAAAGGGTGTAAGGGGGATACCCCGTACTTGATTTGACCGTGATGTTGTTCGCCCAAACTGCATAGCGCAGGTACTTTGACCACTGTTCCGCACGCCCTTTGCACCATTTCGTTAAGGCGTCTACAAGCGTTTGGTGCCCCCTTTCGACCGGAGTGTTGCTTTGGGGGTGATAGGCGGTCGTGTAGGCCGCCTTAATTCCGACCTTCTCTAATACCATCTTGATCTTTTGACTTAGGAACTCGGACCTCCTATCCATAACTATCTTCCCGACACACCCGTACCTAGCGATATACTATAGGAGAAAGTCACTCACCTCTTCGCCCGTCTTCCTCCTGATGGCCTTGGGATTGATTATGTATTTGAGCCCGCCGACTCCCTTGGGCATGGTGACTAAGTCTATATGAACCTTCTCGCCCGGCACAGTGGGAAGAGACGGAACTAGGGGCTCCTTGTACCAGACTGTAGCCCTCTTCTGACAGGCTTCATAGGTTGAACAGTGCTTCTCTACTTCTCCGTATTGCCCATCCCACCAATAAAGTCGCCGAACTTTGTCGAATGTCCCTTTTACCCCTTGGTGTCCGCCGACGACCCCATCGTGTAATTCTTCTATCACTGTCTTTCTTTCCTCCGGATCGCAGAGAACCCTCATGGGGATCGCAAACTTGGTGGGCCTCTTAAAGAGGTGGCCCCCTCGTAGGCAATACCCGAGTGTCTCCCTCTTGACCGCCTTTGTGCCTCCTTCCCTAACCGCTAAGTACAATCCTATAGCGCGGTGCTTCCCGTTGTACAGGTTAGCGAGGAACGCCCTAGGGACTTCTTCCTCTCGAATGGTTGCTGCCCTATTAGTGGCGATTCGGATTACCTTGTCATTGGCCATTGATAGAGTTACTTCCTCCAACTTTGGACAATCTTCTTCCCGGATGGGGAGTCGGGACAACTCGTCTGCAACCTGATTTTTAGGCCCAGAGATTCTTTCGACCCTATAATCATAGAGCCTGATATGGATCATCCACCTAGCAATAGTAGGGTCGGTTAGCGAAAAGTCTTTCTGAAGGACTGCGGCCACCGCGGTCGGATCCACTCTTAGGAGGAACCGCCTTCCGTAGACGTAATGACGGAAGGTTTTTAGGCAGTGCAACACTCCCAGCATTTCCTTCTTGAACTGGCTGTAGTTCCTTTCTGCGGGATTCAAGGCTCGACTCTCAAATCGAAGGGGTCTCTCTTTTTCGTCTTGATCTTTTTGCGATAGAATCCCCCCTATAGAACAGGGCCCAGCGTCCGTAGAGACTATAAAAGGGCGGTCTTCTTCGTCCTTGAAGAACGGAATGCCTAGGACTTGCCCTCCTTCGCGAAACTCCTCTTTAAGGGTTTCCATGTTCGCAGCCTGCTCCTCTCCCCAGGCCCAACTCTCAATTTTTCTTAGCAGTCGTCTAAGTGGTTCTGCCTTCTCGCTGTAGGCCCTTATAAAGATCCTCCAATAGCCCACCACCCCTAGAAATTGTCTAACCTCCGTGATAGATTTCAGTGGTGACGGTCAGGTCATCCATTTTTCTAGCTTCACGGGATCGGGCCTCCGCCCATCCTTGTCGCAGATAAACCCCAATATCTTGATTGACGACACTCCCCAGCGACTCTTAGTCCCGCTTACGGTAAGGTTGGCATCCTCTAACTTCGTGAGGATCTCTCTAACATCCACCATATGATCTACCACAAACTTCCTCACACCGGGAAAAACCTCCGTCTCATCCTTTAGGACTGACCCTTTAATCGGGAAGTCGTCAAGGAAGACTTCAACTTTGTCCAGTATGAATTCCTTGAGGACAACGATCATGGCCCTTTGGAACACGGCCACCCCGTTGGTCCACCCCATGGGTACTACCACCATTTCAACTAACCCCAAAGGCGTGTGCATTGCGTTCATGTGCCTATCCCTATAGTCCAACGGGATCCCATCATAGCCCGAGAAGAGATCGCAGATCGAGTAGATCGACCGACCTGCCGACCCTTCCGCGAGTAGATCAGCCTCAGGTATAGACCCTACATCCCTTATGGTGACCGCGTTGGTTTTTTGAAGATTTTGGATCCACCTCAATTTGTGGCTCCCCTCTTTTCGCAGAAAGAACCACTTGTTAAAGTAAGCGCTTTCACAAGGTTCCGCAACAAACGTCCTTATCTTTTCTTTGATGAAGGTCACTATCTCCTCCTTCGCTTTTTGTGCATACTTCCACGGAGGCCTATCTTTCCAAGGCACGTGGGGGATCGTGTGGATCAGGGCGGGTTTGGCGTACCTAGGCTCTATCCTCCCCCTTTCCAAGTCGTCAAAGACTATGGCCTTGTCGCAACTCCTTAGGGTCGTGGCCACATACTCCTTCTCTTGTTTGGTGAGGTTCTCATCCCCTATGTCCATTTTCGCCAGCCTGTCGGCAGTAATTCTCTGCCCTTCGGTCTTCTTCCGCTTCCTAATGATATCGGCGATTTCTTCCTCCGATATCGAGATTTCCCTCGTTCTATCCCGACTGACCGCAGCGGGCTTCACTTTTTCCGCCACGGTTTTATGCTTCTTAATTCCACCGGCTAAAGGGATTCCCCCAAAAAAAACAGTCTGACGCACCCACCGAATTCTTCCTCTTCGTCCTCCTTTTTGTACCCTACCTAATCGATTATTATCCGACCTCCAACATCCTCGACGTCCACCCAATCTCCCGGGGGTTCTTTGTCGGCCCATGGCGACTCTTCTAACCGGACCTGGCACACTCGTGACTGGGCTTCCTTCCTCCTCGGAACACTAGTCCAATTCTGCTCATCTTGAGCATCCACCGTCTTCAAAACCACCCTGATCCCGTCTGGACTTTGGATCGAGACGGTCTGACTTCCGTCGGGAAGGTCGACCGTGGTAGCGTGCACCGCGCTCAGCCAAGTTCTCCCGAGTATCAACTCGGAAGAACACTCCTTTACCGAAAAAATTGGAACCGTAGCTTCCACCCTTGTGACCTCAATCAGGGGGCTGTGACATACCCCTTCGGCCGGTTGGAGCTTGTTATCCGCAACGGCAATGGACATGGATACTCCTCTATCCACTTCCAGCCCTAATTCCTTAGCGATAGAGTCCCTGCACACGGTAGATTCAGACCCATTGTCCACTAGGGCCCTCATCTTCTTCCCACTCACCAGGGCTTGGAGCTGGCCACTCCTTAGCACATCAAATCTCTTAGTCTCATCTTCCGAGAAGAAACTGGCCGGCAATTCCTCCATCGAGATTCGGGAAGACTGCACCTCCTCCTTGGCAGGTCCATCCCCAGGAACTGTAGGCCCTCCTGCGAGCGGAATCCTCACCTTTTTGGTGATGCTTAGGAGCTCGTCCCTAGCGCTCTTGCTAGCTGCCAAGTACTCAAGGAGCGTGCATTGCATCGGCTCCATTAGAGTTCTCCGCAAGGGAGCTACCGTGTCTATCTCGTCCAAGGTGGATTTCATCTCGAACTTTTTCCCCCCATTTTTTCTGGGCGATTTGGGTGACGTGGGCTCTTCCCCCTTCCTCTCTTCCGCGACTTTGGCGTCGACCATTGGTTGGTCGTCGTCACCGCTCCGTTTTCCTCCCTCTGTAGAGAGCTCCTTGCTCTTAGATGGCCCTGCCCCAACTTGGGTCCTCACTCTTAGGCAAGACCCTTCCTCTTCGGACTGGGTCTCAACGAATTTAATGCTCGACACCTGGGGCTCCCTTATGGACACTCCTCCCGGTGCCTCCGTCATTTGGACGCAGGATGAGTTGGAGGTTCCCCCAACCTCGGGTTTCTTCCCCAATCTCGCCTCTTGGAGCGCTATCCTTTTGTCCACATTCACCTTCATCGAGGGATAAAAGGAGACCATCTCCCCATCATCCCCCCAAACTACCCATTTGTTCTTATTTAATTTCACCACCCCTTGCCGTAGGGCTTCTGTAAGGTAAGGGCACTCCCGCTTGATGTGTCCATCTTCATTACAATAGACGCACCCGCTTCGAGCCAGCGGATTGTTAGGGTGAGGGACCACTTGAGGTGCCGCTCCTATGGTAGCAGGAGGTCTGGGAGGCTGCGGCATCCTGGTCTGACTCGCCTCGGGACGAGTTCCTGAGTTCCTAGGTTTGGGACGGTCTCCCCATCTTCCATCCCTCGCTTCCTTCCATCGGGAATTTCCCCATTCCGAGACTCGATTCCCTCCAGTTTCTCGGTCGCTCCTCCAGTTCCCTTGGTTACCGGATTCGTTCCGCCAACTCGGGGGTCCTCCTCCCCAGCGCTGGACGGGAGGCCCAGGAGGCTGCCTTTCATTCCTGCAGGGACCGTTCCTTTGGGTGCGCATACTCCGGAGCGCCATGTCCAGACTCTCCTTCATGTACTCTCGTACGTCCACTCCTCCTCCAGTGAAGACCACTTTGGCGACTCGTTCGAAATTCGTGAAGTCTCTATGGGCCTTCTCGAGGACCTCCCTCCTCTTCTCCTCAGGCAGGTGCAACATGAACATTATGCACCTGACACCAAGGGAACAACATTCCTGTCTGTTCGAGAGTTGTGCGGTCAACTAACCAATCATTAGTTGGCAGACATCGGTGTGCTATTTGCCACTGAAGGGAGGTGATCTTCATGGGCTTGGACTTTTTTTTCTTAAACCATTGGATTGGCGATAAGAGGGATCGGTCCACATTCAACTGCCTGGCCCATCTGTCGTTGATCAAATCCTTCAGATACCGCTTAGGTCTGAGCATTTTGTAGGCGGATTTGACCGTTAATTGATGTAGGATAATATGGCTTACCTTGGGAGTTCCCCTCTTTTGGGGAGGCGGCCAAGTCCATTCCACCAGATCAAAGGCCAGGTCCTGGATTGTTTTATCGGGCTGGTACACCACCCTTTGTCCTTCTCTTCTAAAACCCTCACCCGATACACTGCCTCTTTCTTTGTCCATTCAAAAGGTCCTCTACTCCCTTGGAGGGTGCCCTTTTTGGTGATGGTGTGATGTTCAACCATGACCAGTTGGGGTGAGACCATGTGAAACGGGGCCCCTGTGCATGCCACCCAATCCCCTATTCTCAAGGTAGGGCCATGTTTAACCAAGAAACCTTGAAGTTGCCACGGGGGCGTATGTTCATTGACAGACCATATACACGCATCCTACCGTAGTCACTGTCTGCACCCCCGAACGATAATCCCACCAACTCTTCAGAGCTTCCCCCTTGTCCTTGCTGTGCTGTTCCAACAAACTGCAAAAGAGCCTGAGTTGCCATGACAGGTTTCCCACCACACACCCTTGGATCTTTGTGAGTAGGCGGATCAGAATAGGTACAACTCAAGTTTGCTCTTCGCCGGCTTTCTCGTACCACCAAACCAGTAGCGTTCCAACCGCCACCCGTTACACTCTCACTTCTCGTGGTAGCGCCGCTGCTGATATCTCCATGGGTTTCACCCTGATCCACACTAATTCTGCCCCCCTACTCTTGCTCATAAACAACTGTGCAAATACAGTCAGACAGAAACAAGAACATGTCAGCCGCAGTCCCTCCCTTCGGACCCTTCCTATAAGATGAGTCCCTAAAATGAGGAGAGATAGCAGACCTCCCTTCAGAACCTATAATGAGGAGAGATAGCAGACCTCCCTTCAAAAGGTCCTCTACTCCCTTGGAGGGTGCCCTTTTTGGTGATGGTGTGATGTTCAACCAGGACTAGTTGGGGTGAGACCATGTGAAAGAGCCTGAGTTGCCAGACCACATACACGCATCCTACCCTAGTCACTGTCTGCACCCCCGAACGATAATCCCACCAACTCTTCAGAGCTTCCCCCTTGTCCTTGCTGTGCTGTTCNACATACACGCATCCTACCCTAGTCACTGTCTGCACCCCCGAACGATAATCCCACCAACTCTTCAGAGCTTCCCCCTTGTCCTTGCTGTGCTGTTCGAACAAACTGCAAAAGAGCCTGACTTGCCATGCTGGGTTTCCCACCACGCACCCTTGGATCTTTGTGAGTAGGCGGATCACAATGGGTAGAACTCAAGTTTGCTCTTCGCCGGCTCTCTCGTACCACCAAACCAGTAGCGTTCCCACCGCCACTCGTTACACTCTCACTGCTCGTGGTAGCGCCACTGCTGATATCTCCATGGGTTTCACCCTGATCCACACTAATTCTGCCCCCCTACTCTTGCTCGTGAACAACTGTGAAAATACAGTCAGACCGAAACAAGAACATGTCAGCCGCAGTCCCTCCCTTCCTATAAGATGAGTACCTAAAATGAGGAGAGATAGCGGACCTCCCTTCCTATAAGATGAGTACCTATAATGAGGAGAGATAGCGGACGCCGTACCACTTATACCCAAATGTTGTAAGCAGCAGCACATCCAAGACTAGCGCCTACCGGTAAAAGGGGAAACTTACGCACAGCCACTATATTCGAGAAAGCTATCTTACATATAGAGTCAAATAGGGAGCAGAGGAATCGGAATACGGTACGATGCTGCTGTATGCAAGAAGAAAGCAAAGGAAGTCCCTGTTTCAAAATGCCAGAAGATAATGCATCTAACCTATGAACAAGATAAGATACAGAGCACAAATTCAAATATTTCATCCCTAAGAATCTGCCAGATCATATTGGTAGCCACATCAGCAAACCATTGCCATGGCATTTTGTCTGCAAAAAGAGGGACAGCCATGTTAGCAATAACGTTTGCCTTGTGCAGGGCTGTCAGGTCAGCAAGGACTTGATCTGCCCATCCAGAGTAGCCACATCAGTAATCACCCTTGATCCGTGAGGCGCTCTATATATCAATGACCCGCCGCCGGGGACAGGTTCCACTCAGAGAGTGTTCACACTAGGGCTTCGGTGCACCCACGGAGGAGTGGAAAAAGTCTTAGTGTCAGTGCCTCCGTAATGGACTTGGATTCTTTGTTTCCGATGTCGGCCGCACTCCCACGGCCATAGCAAGCTCTCCCACTGCTTCCGCTGGCGCTGCTGCCTTCCTTCGTGCAATTCAACCCAAACTGCCTGGGCAGTCAGGATTGGTCTCTCTGATGAAGGTGTGGGAGTGAAGTGATAGTTTCATAAGAGTAGCATGGCAAGATGGTTGAGTAGACGTCTTGAGGTAAAAAGGTGAAGAAATCAAATGGCATGGAGATATGTTAGGGGCCACCTGGATGCTGAGGCGTCTGAGCACGAAGGAGCTCACTCCCCCACTCAAGGAGGAGGTGACACCTCAGCACGTTTCTCAGGCTGACTACATAGCCTGAGACCTGGTGGGGCGAAGTTAGGCCATGAAGATCTATCATACACCATGCGCGTCGCTTCACTCCGCACGGCTGCGGCTCCGAGTGTGCTACCGCCGCCACCTCAGGGAACCGTAACTCGTGAAAATGGCGCTGCGCGGTAAATTCCAGCAGTAGCGCAGTGGTAGCGCTCCGGCAGCCCCCCATTGTGTCCACCTCAAAAAACCGGGTTTCGACACCCTGCCTCTTTGCTCCACTATTCTTGACATGCACAAAAGACACAAATCATGGCGCTGTATCTTTCCATGTTCTAGAGGAAGATTCACTTTCGTTTTGCACATTTCGAGAGTAGTGGAGGCGGGCAAAACGAGAGTGAATCTTCCGCTAGAACATGGAAAGATACACCTAGAACATGGAAAGACGCACCGCCACGAGGGCCCAAGGATGACACGCATAGGTCGGGAAATCTGAGAAGGGAAAAAAACGAGATTTTGTTTTTTTTAAAGAAAAGACACTGGGTTGTTGTCAGCACGTTGTTGTCAGCCCATGTACCCCGCTGGGCCCCTGTATTCCCGTTGCACAGAAGACAAAAATCATGGAGCTGTATCTTTCCATGTTCTAGCCAAGATTCACTCTCTTTTTGCACATTTGGAGATCAATCGTGGAAACCGAGAGTGAATCTTTCCGTACAACATGGAAAGATACAGCCGCACGATCTTTTTTTTTCCCTTCTTGTTTCTTCTTTTCTTTTTTGGAAAAACGGCCTGGCCCTCCAACGTGGATGACTAGACTGCAGTTACAAACTCTGCGCTGCTACAGCCACACACGGCGGAGTTTGGCCTGCAGTGTAAACTTCAGAGAGGACTGGACTCCAAAACGGCAGTTCGAAATGTATTTTCATACTCTAACCCTGACCGCGCCCTAGTTTTCTAGGCCACACCCGAGCTGTCTAGGCCACACCCGTGGCCAAGTCCCACATACACAGTTGCGACCCCACGCAACGTTGGAGATGCACGGGAGCTGCACCCGTGGCCAAGTCCCAGATACAGGGATTTACTGAAAAAAAAGGGTAGGGGGCTTTGTATTCGGGTGCAGGTATTTACTGAGAAATGAAAAAAACTTTTTTTTTTTTTTTTCCAAAAAAGGTGGTGAAAAATCCCTGCACCCGAATACAAAGCCCCCTACCCTCCCCATCGTCCTTTGAACTCGTTCGATACCCACTTCGAGTGGGGTATGGGTTCAAAGGTGCTTCCCATGCTGCATCCTCTATATTCCGTGAAAAATAGTGGTGGCGTCATCATTGTTATCATTGTGTGACGGTGGGCCTCCGCTCAATCCGGTAGTATCTGTCAGCCAGAACGTGCCGCAACATATGCCCCTTCTTTAGTGGGCATACATAGTCATGTATTCACCCCGCTTTCTGGTAAAGGTTCTTTTCCGCAATTCTGTAAATGGGGTGGGCCACACCTTTGGTGTATGTTGCCATGTTCCTGGTTGTGGTTCTTTCCCAGGATTGAAAATCAAAACGACCCAATTCCCATGGTTCTGCATGACATTGTGAGCATCCGCATGAGTTAGCGATGTATGTTGCCCGATTTCCTGAGTAAATGCACCATGCCTTCTTTGTGGTGCTCGATCTTTTTGCTCAACTTCCTCTGTATGTTGCCCGATTTCCTGAGTAAATGCACCATGCCTTTAATGTGCTGTTCAATCTTTTTGCTCTGCTCCCTGCCCTCCCCTTTCAGACTGATACCACCCTTGGGCATGGGGGCGCAGCCAGGACAGCGGCGGACCGGTGACCAGCCCACGAGAGCTTCGCTGCACTTCTTTTTTTTTTTTCTTTTTTTTTTTTGAGACAAACCCTACCAATGTTAGTGTTGCTGATAAGAGCAGACACCACTAACACCTGGGTAGAGACTCCATCTATTGGTGGGGAGCGTCACCTGCTGGAAACCGGGTCCAGCGTCCCTTTTACATAGCCTTTGTTTCTTTATAAAATTATGTGGAGATAAGAACTGCCTCTTCAGCCAAACCAGGCCGCCAGATACAACTATTAAATCTAGCAAAACAATATCTCCTGGAAATAGTCTAACAAATAACCCAACAATGGAGACAACTTTTCCTTGAGATTGCATCAGAAACCTCATAGATCCAAAATATGTTGTGTTCATACTTTATTGAGGATACCATTGCGAATCCACCATTGCTAATTCTGACGGGGGGAAGGGATCCGGAAAACATTCTGGAGATCTAAGTGTGGTTCCTGGAGGAAGCGACAATCAGTCTTTGAAGCTCAAGAGGAAGTCTCGTTTTAGATTTCCCC